GAAAACGAACTCGAGGATATGCTAACGCAAGTGGTTAGTTAGGGAGGTGGCAGTGTTAATAGATGCAGGCAGTACGCTGTTTTTGTAGATGTGACGGGAGATTTTATTGCTCAAAGGTCTTTTTTATGTTCCTGAATCTAGATCACTTCCTTTGTGTTAGATTTTTTAAAAGCAACAAACTTTTTCCGAAATGCTTTCGTGAGTGCAATGTTGGATCTTCACTTCATCTTGCGCTAATGTCCGTATTCAGATAATCGCGCACGTACTTTATCAGATCGGTCGTCTTCTAAATACATGCAGAAAAGCTATTTTCTCTAAATTCTACACAAAGATGTTCAGCAAAAGGTATGTCGTCCCTGGTGACTCTTTTTCTGCGCTGTGACAAAATAAACGTCAGACACTAAATAGAAAAGCAAAACTTCAAGTGAAGAATCAAGCATGTACGAATTTTGCTGTATTGAGCAGACAATGTTTATTCAGAAAGAAGGACATTTGCCATTAATGAATTAGGCTTTTTTTGGAATTGTTCTAGGCGTAGTCCCAATCTTTGATCTTCTCTTTCGAGCAGGACATTTCCATGAATGAATTCTAGTGCTACATGGATCGGTTCCAGGTTGATATCTGAAACATCTGCGTCCGAGGAAGCAGAGGTGAGCCTGATCAACAAGTTGAAGCAGATGTGTGGATTCGAGTACACAAATCGATTGTCCAAAATGATAAACGATACTCAGATCAGTAAGGTGCGTTGGAATTCTTTTTTCAACTTTTGTTTTTACTTGTAACCATTCCATAGTAATTTTCCTGACTTTATTGAATCTAGTTGAAGTTTTCGTCAAGCTCCAAGAGTAGAGCGCTTTGGGATGCGCCGCGATCTGCCCTAACAGCATCCAAGCGGATTTCTGTCTACAAAGCCCCCATTTAGATGACTTGCAACGTATGTGGCCAGATTTTCCACGATATTACACAAACTGTAGTGCCCATCCTACGCGGCCGCTGATGAAGGGCTTGGATAACCTGCGTCAAGTTCATCAACCGCCTTCTACGCGGTGTCGCCTGCTAACTTCTATTACTACGACACACTCCACTCTGAGTATCTTACATACTATAAAGCGCTTCGTCTGTCGTTCTGTCCCTGTCTGTCGTTCTGTCCCTCTGTCTGTCTGTCTGTCCTCTGTCTGTCGTTCTGTATGTCTGTCACGAAATTCCCTAGCTCCTCGGGATCCGCCTGGAGGGACCGGGTCAAGTGTGGGATGGGTGGCAGGGTCTCACGTAATACAAAACACACATCAGCTAAGCGGAGCCCCGCCCACAGAGGGCGTGGCGTGCGTCGAAATGAATTGTACCAAAGACCAAGATTTCGATTTCAGTGAAAAAACGACCTCGAAACTGGGCCAAAAAGTGGGCTAAGGTGTGCATTGGTAAGTAACATCGAATTAGGGAGACCCACCCCCGGTGGGCGGGGCGTTCTCTAAAAAAGCAGTGCTTTATGAAAAATTTCATAACTCGGTTGGGAGAAAGCCTACAGAGCAGAAAACAATTCGGTGTAAGGGAGCAATGTCTAAGGTGTTTCCCGCATACATGACGTGGGCGGAGGCCTGCCCAGAATGGGCGGGGCGCGCTCTGAAGTGTACAGCATTTTCTACAAGCCCTCATAATTCGGGTCGGGGAAGTCCTAAAGAGCCGGTGGATAGAGGTGTATGGAGGAGTGGAGGCCAGCTATCAATGGTGGGCGGGGCTTGACCAAAGTGGGCGGAGTTTGCGACGAAAATTTATAACTCGGCTCCATGAAGCTCCGGAGGCTGGGGAAAAGGTGGATAGAGGTGGGTGGAGGAGTGGAGGTTAATTGTCATTGGTGGGCGGGGCCTGACCAAAGTGGGCGGAGTTTGCGACGAAAATTTATAACTCGGCTCCATGAAGCCCGGAGGCTGGGGAAAAGGTGGATGGAGGTGGGTGGGGGAAGTGGAGGCCAGCTGTCATCGGTGGGCGGAGCTTGACCAAAGTGGGTGGAGTTTGCGACGAAAATTCAGAACTCTGTTCCAGAAGGTCCCGGAGAGTGGGGAAAAAAGAAGATATAGTTGGGTGGGAAAGTGGAGGTCAAAGGCCAGTGGTAGGCGGGGCTTGGCCAAAGTGGGCGGAGTTTGCGACGAAAATTCATGACTTGGCTCCAAGAAGTCCCTGAGGCCGCGGAAAAGGTGGATGGAGGTGGGTGGAGGAGTGGAGGCCAGCTGTCAATGGTGGGAGGGACATGACCAAAGTGGGCGGAGTTTGCGACGAAAATTCATAACTCGGCCCCAAGAAGTCCAGGAGGCTGGGAAAAAGGGAGTAGAGGTCGGCGAAGGAAAGGAGGTCAAATGCTATTAGTGGGTAGAGCACACGCACCCAAGTGGGCGGAGTTTGCCAAAAGTATCGCAATTCGGTTGCACCAAGGGTCTAGATAGGGAAAACGGTTAGAGGTTGTGGAAAAGAGCTCAACTGCTATCACTGGGTAGAGCACGCACCTAAGTGGGCGGAGTTTGCCAAAAGTGTCGTAATTTGGTTCCAAGAGGTCCCAGAGACCGGTGAAAAAGGGGGTAGAGGTCGGCGAAAAGAAGGGAGCCAAATGCTATTGGTCGGCAGGGCACGCACCGAAGTAGACGGAGTTCGCCACGAGATTTATTGTCCGGGCCGAGGACCGAGAAAAATAGGATAATGGTTGACGAAGAAAGAGCGCATAGAATTTAGCGGAGAATTCAGATATTCGTATTGTATCAAGCCAAATTTGAAATTTTTCGTCGCACCATCAAAATTCGCCACAGATCTGTGTTGCGCGCGCAATTGCGTGCGGCCACAACTGTTTACCAATACATAAGGTCGGCTTTTTATCTACTTGTCTGCCGATTGTCGTAAAATTATTTCTAATAGGTTTTGTATTCGTTTTTTACGCTATGATGCCTAGGATTCATGTGCCGAATTCCGTGACTACTTAGCAAACCGCAATGTCGACTTGGGAATCGACTTCAACATGCTTATCCTAAGGTAATTGATGTCCATATTCCTGTTATTTTCCTTGTATCGCTGATGGGTCATGTTTATATTTGGTGAACTAAAGCTGTTAATAGACTTAGATGCATCAGTATGTGCCACTTTTCCAGCTCCGGTTCATGGCCAGCGCTACCGACTCTGAAGATGCACTTACCACAAAAACTCAATGTTGCCATTGAGCAGTTCACAGCCTTTTACAATTCAAAGCACAGTGGCAGAAAGCTGACATGGGTGAGAAGAGTAGTTATTTGTTTGTTGTTGATTTGATGGTTCTTTTTCTCAAAATGGAAATTATTTTGAAACGCTCTTAAGTGAATATCTGAATACATCCCTGCAAATTCTGAAGGTGAACTACATGCGTGCAGATTAAGCGAGTGAATTTGGAGATGCCCCATTTATAATGGACAGTCTGTCAAACTTTTGGGTTATAATCAATTAGGTGCTAGGTTTGCAATCTTGCTTCCATGATATCACCCGTTTAAGGGATATTCGACTCGTATTTATTTTTAAGTGCTGTTTGCTATTTATTCTCTCACCTACTTATTGATAACTTGTCGCGTTCACGCTTACACCCTTTTAAACTTTTTCCTCGATTGTTTTTCAGTAGCTCACCATTGTACTTAGTCAATAAATTGAAGATAGCATCCTTCATATTTTTTTTCTTTCCGGTTGTTTTTGATATATATTTGCCTGTTGTAGGTGTTATCGCAATCTCGTGGCGAAATATATGCGTTTGGCTTCGGCAAGAAATATGTTTTCACGGTGAGTTCACCTCTTTATGTTGAAGCAGTTGGAGTTTGTGCAACACTCCTATTGTTTCGGTTGTAGATACCTAGCAGAAATTTTTGTCTTCAGTGCTAAGATATTTTTCAATATATACTTTTCTATCTCAGACCACAACGGCACAAATGGCAGTGCTTCTTTTGTTCAACGATTCTATGGAGTACTCGATTGGATCACTAATTTTGTCTCTAGGGATGGACAAGAAGACCCTGTCGCAAGTCTTGGTATCCCTCGTCAAGGTATTTGCATGGAATTTTGTTTTGAGGTTCTTATATGTAAAAGGGATCCGCTCCAGATTATGAATATGTAAATATTGTTTTTCTTTTTATATTTTTCACTTCATTGATTATTATAGAATGATGTTCTGAAGAGTTCTGAAAGCCTGGACGTGTCCTCAGAGGCAAAGGATAATGTCATCATAAGTCTTAACCAGACCTATTCAAACAAAAAGATCAAGGTACAGGGTTTTTCTGCATCTTTGTCAGCATTTTTGTATTCTCCGTTGAGCTCGTCGGGTTTTGCTGTGTTGGTGTTCAAATTAAATTGACCTTGAAATTTTCACATCATTCTTCCTTTAAGGTTTATCAAAATCCGATCGTACATCTGTTACCTCATTATACCACTAATTTGTTCCAGGTTGATCTATCCAAGATGGTGATGCGGACCGACACGAAGCAGGAAACGGAAACTGTACAGAAGAATGTTGACGAAGATAGGAAGAGCGTTATTAACGTAAGTTATGTGCTTACACGCTGCGGACCTGCTTCCAAAAAAGCTTAGATGGCACAAAAAGGAAAAGCAAAAAGCACATGACTGCTATGGCCTAAGTATGGCTTAGCCACACTTAGGCCATAGCAGCCATCAGTCAGGCGATCCCAAGACAA